GTTTTGGTTGTTAGTAGGCAAAGTAAAGTGCTGAAGAAAGTCAGGATATATGGCAGCATCTGTGAAGGGAAAACAGACTTAATGTTGACTCCACTGAGCAGCTAGAAAGAGGCAGTAAGAAAACAAGAGAAGGGGAGAGAGCAAGAGAGAGTAAGCAAAAGGATTGTGGTGGTAAGCCAGGGAAGAGACGCTAGATTGGTGATAACTGTGCTGAAAGTAACCCATTTCAAGTCAGGATCTGGGGTTGTGGGGGTCGGTAATTGACATGGAAGGTGGTGTTCATACACTGAAATTGTTAACCTCAATGTCAAGTCCTAAAGGCTGCAGGATGTTCAAGTGAAAGAGGGCAACACAGTGGCTCAGTGGTTAGCACTGCTGCTTCACAATGCCAGGGACCCGGGTTCAGTTCCAGACTCAGGCGACTGTCTGTGTGGAGTCTGCACATTCTCCTCGTGACTGCGTGGGTTTCCTCCGGGTGCTCTGGTTTCCTCCCACAGTCCAAAGATGTGCAGGCTAGGTGGACTGGCTAGGCTAAATTGCCCATAGTGCCCAGGGATGTTTAGGTTAAGTGGGTTAGACATGGAAAATACAGGGGTAGGAGAATGGGTCTGGGTGGGGTGCTGCTCGGAGGGGCTGTATGGACTTGTTGGGCCGAATGGCCTGTTTCCATACTGTAGGGATTCTATGAGAAAGTGAAAGCTGTTCCTCCAGCCTGTGTTGAGCTTCGCTGCAGTCCTGAGACCAGGTGAAACATTACATTCAATCCGACCCACTGTATGCACGACTCAACATGGTCTCCTCTACACTGGGGAGATGAAACACAGGCTGGGCGTCTGCTTTGCAGACACTTATGTTCTGTCAGTGAAAAATGATCCCAAGCTTCCAGCTGCCTCCCACTTCAACACATCAGTGTTCCAATGCCTGCCTGTCTCAAGCCTGCTACAGAACTCCAGCACTGAGTCTTTCATTTCTTTAACATTTTTCAAAGGAGGTGTACAGCAAGTTTGAAAATTCCTGCTTCAAGAATTGTTTGGTTTCTAATTTAAATCTTGAAATCTGCTTCACTTTCAAGGAGCCCCTGAAAACCAAAAGAGTAGCCCTTGAAAGAAAAATAGCTCGCAAAAAGAGCTTTTGGACAGGGGAAATAATAATTTTGACTCAGGGCTGACATTTCAAACTGAGAACTGAGCAGGCACTCGATGGCGATAGGCACATCCTGGTCCTTTGAAGAAGCATGGTTGCTCAGTCTTTATTTCTTCATTTTAGTATGACAGGCAAAATCAAAAATGACATTCTTGTCTAAGTGTACTAGTTTCCACAGAGGATTGATTTCTTAAAAGATAAATGGTGACTGGACAGAAGCAAAATTATTGTTTTAAAATCTCAATGTTGAGAAGCCAAACTGACCAGCTGTTGAGGTATCAACTGACAGGCATTTTGAACTGACCAAGGAGCGAGAATCGTTTTTATTCAGATGGTCATGAATCCTTGGAATTTTCAGCTTGTTAAATATATCTGAGACTGAGATTGATAGACTTTTGGACTCTAGGGGAATTAAGGAACATGAGCATTGGGTGAGAATGTGCAGCTGAGGTTGAGATGAAGCATAATCTTATTAAATGTAGGAGCAGGCACAAGGTGCCAAGCAGCCAACTCCTGCTTCTATTTTTTATATTATCATGCAGGTCCTGCAAGAAATCAGTTTTAGGTAGCACTGGACTTGTTGACAGTGCTACTTGGTAGACTTATTTGTTTGTTTTTCTATTTTTGTACCAAGGATTTTGTACCTAAGATGGCGCTGGGAACTGCAATATTGTACACTTTTCACTGCACTCTGTACCCTGTACTTGAGTACACATGACAATAAAACTTAAATCAACCCAACATTTATCTGTTTAAATTTGCGACAAGTTTTCCAGAAACACTACGTAATGATCTGGACATCAGAAGATGCGGGACCTGCCACATGCCTTACAAGTGTCTTGTAATGTTTTAAACAAAGGTAATGTGCTTACAAGAGTTGATGGCAAATCTGGGAACACAGAATATAATTAAGTGGTCCAAGGATAAAATAAATGAAAAATGACATAGCGAAGGAATGGTTATTCTTGAAACTTGAAAACAAAATGGAACCAGCATTCAGGTTCTGACAGCAAAAAGAGAAAATAAACTAACCACGAACATATTCCCCAGTTATTTCAAAAGCTTTCATTAAAGAACATTTTCTGGGATTACTTTTTTTAAATACATATTCTGTCATAACAGAGGAGACAGCAAGAACATGACTTCTTTATCCAACTATGAAGATATTCAACATTTTGGAAAACCAAAGTACTATAATTTATTTCTTTCTCTGGGAGTGACTATAGAAATTAAAAATAGAGATTAAATGACCAATTCTGTCTTAAAAAAATAACAAAATCACTGCATTTCACAAGGAGAACCAAACAGTCCTACCTTCAACACGTGACTCCAGATACTTATCCAGTTCAGCATCTTTCCTCACTGCCTCTTCTGAAACCTTGGGAGCATTAGGGAAACAGACCAATACAATGCTCATGTTGTCTCTACTTCCCTATAAAAACAATAAGTTGATTTATTAGTATGTATTGTTAACTATTGCAAGAATATTACACCATTGGGGTTAGAGTACAGATCAATCATATTCAAAAAATTAGCTATACAACATAATGCAGCAATTTTTTGCATATCGCAGAATTATCTCCATTGCGGTTTTCATTTTAACATGTAACTGAAAAAAGAGAAACAGAACAAAATAGTAGGGGTAGGCCTTTCAAGCCAGCTCTGCCATTCATTACGATCATTATTGATCATTCAGCTCAGTAACCTGTTCCTGCTAATTCTGCCTACGCTTTGACCCTTAGAATGACATCCCACTCTTCGAAAGCGTAATATTTTGGCTTCAACCGCTTTTTGTGGTAGCAAATTCCAAAAGCTCACTACTCTCTTCATAAAGAAATTTCTCCTCATCTCAGTCCTAAATGGGTTACGAAATATTCTTAAATTGTGACCCCTGGTTCTGGACTCCCTCTGTCATTGGGAACTTAGTTCCTGCGTCTAACTGGTATCGTCCTGTTAGAATTATATAGGTTCGTATGAGATCCCCCCACCCTGCCCCATTCTTCTAAACTCCAGTAAATATCATCCTAACTGATTCAACCTCTCCCCACAAGTCTGGTAAACTTTTGCTGCACTCCGTCTGTAGCAAGAACATCTTTCCTCAGATAACGAGACCTCAACTGCACATAATAATCCAGGTGTAGTCTTGCCAAGGCCCTGTATAATTGTACCAAGACATCCCTGCTCCTGTATTCAAACTCTCTCACTACAAAGACCAACATATATTTGCCTTCTTGACCAGATGATGCACCTACATGCTTACCTTCAGTGACTGACGTACAAAGACAGCCAGGTCTCAATGCGCATTCCTTCACTCAATTTATTGCCAGATAATAATCCGTTTTCCTGTTTTGCTACCAAAATGGATAACCTCTTATTTACTTACATTACACTGCATCTGCCATGCCTTTTTCCACACACTCAACTTGTCCAAGTCACATTGAAGCATCTCTACATCCTCCTCATACCTTACCCTCCCACACATCTTTGTGTCATTTGCAAATCTGGACATAACATGTTTAGTTCCGTCATCAAAATCTTTAATATATATTGTGAATAGCCAGGGTCCTAGCACTGATCCCCTGTGGTACCTCACTGATCACTGTCTGCCATTCAGAAAATTACCCGTTTATTCTGAAGTAGTTCTGAAGAAGGGTCCTGACCCTAAACATCAACTTTCCTACTCCTCTGATGCTACCTGATCCGCTGTGTTCCTCCAGCTCCACACTGCGTTGACTCGGACTCCAGCATCTGCAGTTCTTGGTGTCTTACCATTTATACCTACACTGTTTCCTATCTGCTAATCAATTTTCTACCTATTTCAATACACCACCCTCAATCCCATGCACTTCAATTTTACACACGAATGTCTTAAGTGGGACTTTGTCAAAAGCCTTCTAGAAGTCCAAGAAAATCACATCCCCTCATCAATTCTATGACTTACATCCTCGAAGAATTCCAGTAGATTTATCAAGCATAATTTCCCTTTCATAAATCCATGCTGATTCTATCTGGTCATGTCACTGTCTTCCAAATGCTCAACAATTAATTCTTTTAGAATGGACTCGAGCATTTTTGTTACAGCTAACGTCGGGCCGAGTGCTCTTTAATTCCCCGTTTTGTCTCTGCCTCTCTTTTTAAATAATTTAATCCCTTTATCTACAGCTTGGAGGATACCTAATGATCTGGAGTCTACAGAATCTTGCAAGATGATCACCGATGCATCCACTATTTCTAGGGCTACTTTCTTAAATCCTCTGGGATGTACATGATCAGGGTCTAGGATTTTATTGGCCTTCAATCCCTATTTCTCCAACACAGTTTCCATACTAATATTTTCCTTACTACCTCCCTCTCTCGAAGCCCTATGTTCCCCATCATTTTGATACATCATCATTTTGATACATTATTTGTGTGCTCCTTTGTGAACATAGACCAAAATATACATTTAGTTGGTCAGCTGTTTCTTCTTCATTAGCAGGTCCCCTGTTTCTGACTGCAAGGTCTTCACAAATTTTACTCCTCTCACATATCTGTATAGAAACTTTTACAGCCAGTTTTTTATGTTCCCCACAAGGAAATTCAGCCTCCGATCTTTGGGTAAGCATCCTCCAAGATGGACTTCAAGATATACAACAATACAAAATCACTGAGCCGCAGCTGATAGCCAAGTTCCATACCCATGAAGATGGCCTCAATCGTGATCTTGGGTTCATGTCACACTACAGGTGACCCCCACCGCACTACACACTCCCACACACACACTCTCTCTCTCATATATACACACATACACAGACACACATGAATTATTTCATTCAAGATGTTTGTGTAGTTGCAGATACATTCTGATTTGCTCAAAAAAACCTGACTCCATTTTAAAACATAGACAGATTCTAAGCAAGACCTCACACCTAAAATGCATTGTCTGACCGGAGATGTCACCTCTTGTATACATTGATAAAACCTTTAATTATCTCGGAACAATGACGTGAGAGGAATCTGGATTTTGCATTTCAATCAGTAGTTTCCTTCCTAACCGATTGAAGATTCAACAAGAGGCTGCCAGTTGTTACCTTTCTGTTTATGAATTGTGTTTTGTACCCTCTCTCACACTACATCTGAGAAAGGAGCTGAGCTCAGGAAGCTTGCATTTTTCAAATAAACCCATTGGACTATAACCTGATGTTGTGAGTTTTTTTTAAAAACCATAAAAATCCAGCACATAGCAGCAACAGAAAAAAAAAAATCAGGCCTTGAAATTAGATATCGTTGGGTAGAATATATTTAGAAATGATGATGGGGGGAGGGGCGCGCAGTTAATGAAGTTGAGAAGTAGCTCTTTAATTCACCATGTCCAATCGCTCTCCATGAATCTTGATTTTTGGGGTAAGAGGGGTCAGTGTTGTGCAATTGAAGCAGGATGGTAAGTTAAACATCTCGAAGACAATGATCGCCTAAGTCCCATTCATTCACAGCCTCTGTGAATGTATTGGCAATAATTTGGAAAACAGCCTCTGAGCATTTGCACACGTAAGCATTTTCACAGGGGAACGTTGCGACAAAGAAGATGGAGAAGAACCCTGTTGCAAATGACACAGCTTTACTGGACTCCATTTTGCACACATATTGGGTCTCTAAAGGATCCACTGGTGAGGATCACAGCCTATGTGCTGTTGTGCAGCAGGCGCAGGAAAGCGATGAATGTCTGAGGGCAACCAAATGTGAGTAGGACACTCAATAATCCCACCAAATTGACGACAATCATAGGCCTTTGAGGTCCAAAACGGACACAGAGAGGTTGCAGCTAGACTCTGAACTTTAATTTGTCATGCTGTGAAGACAGTGTCCACTGGGGCTCTTGATGAATGGAGTCCACATTGAGATTCCAGTAGTAGCTCTTCAGTCATTAAAAGGTGATTTTTTTTTGTATTGGCCTGTCCTGTGGCATACAGCATGGATATCCATCAGTCTCTACCACAATCCAGGTATGTTCTCCTTCCCCTAACTAAGTTAGATAAGCCAAGACCGCTTTTCCACCATGTCTTAGTATTTCAGAAAGGATTCCATCTGTATCAGTCACTTTGTTGGTTCTCAGCTGTCATATGGCCTTTTCAACTTTATGTCGGGCTGGGATTTTGCTGCGATGGCTCCAGTGGGAGTGCTTTGGTTTGTGGTCAAGGGGACTCATATTGAAGATTGAGCCTTGGTTGAGAGAATCTCAACATACTCTTTTGAACAAGTGCTTATCGACTCTCTGTCATTGATGAGCACCATTCCATTCTTAGATCTCAATTGGTAAGTCCTCAACTGCACTGAAGAATCCACTCATGCCATGGACGTTGGCAAGTTGCTTTATTATCTGTTCACTTTTTGCCCACCATCTGTTGTTTAGATGATGGGGTTTTTGTGGGACCTCAGCCTTCCGTTTGTCTAT